GACCACAAATGCTACTTAAATTATTTAAAATTATAAGTAGGAAATTTTTCGTTTTAATCCAACTAAGTTCAAAAAAATTGTAACGTAAAAATAATTGAGCTATGTTCATTTATTTATCTCTGATTAGAAATAAAATGAATGATCGATGTGAACACTCGCAAACTAAATCGAACACAACCCGAATATTAGGCTAATCATGGCGACATCGGCTAAGCGAGATTAGATTATCCGACACTTATCAATGTCTCATAGTAATATAAATTGTTTATACTTTATTATATCTGTTAAATGATGATTTTTATTATATTTAATTTTGTTACTAGTTTAGCTGATTGTAATTGAAGTAGAGAATGAATAACATATTTACCAATTAAAGAAGTGATGTAATGGTAGAAGCTTCATAATCTAGAAGTCCCAGGTTCAAATAATCAGGTTCCCACTAACAATAAGCGTTTTTTAAGATCAATTTGAAGTAATTAATTTCAAATATAATTATTATAAATATCTTAGGAATAAAATTTGTAACCCTTAAGGATGAACGTTTTTTTTTTTCGAATATTAAATTAGTGTCATTTCGGATCCACTCCATTTCAATCTATTCAATCCATTTTCATGGATTTAAATTACGCATTAAAAAAATTTTAATCCATTCTCGTTTGCTAAGTAGCTCGTGTCGCAAACCGCGCTCCATGTAATATCAGCGAAAGAAATAGGCGGTACGTGGTACGCGATTTCCTAGTTACACTTATCAATGTCTCATAGTAATATAAATTGTTTATACTTTATTATATCTGTTAAATGATGATTTTTATTATATTTAATTTTGTTACTAGTTTAGCTGATTGTAATTGAAGTAGAGAATGAATAACATATTTACCAATTAAAGAAGTGATGTAATGGATAACGTAGAAGCTTCATAATCTAGAAGTCCCAGGTTCAAATAATCAGGTTCCCACTAACAATAAGCGTTTTTTAAGATCAATTTGAAGTAATTAATTTCAAATATAATTATTATAAATATCTTAGGAATAAAATTTGTAACCCTTAAGGATGAACGTTTTTTTTTTCGAATATTAAATTAGTGTCATTTCGGATCCACTCCATTTCAATCTATTCAATCCATTTTCATGGATTTAAATTACGCATTAAAAAAATTTTAATCCATTCTCGTTTGCTAAGTAGCTCGTGTCGCAAACCGCGCTCCATGTAATATCAGCGAAAGAAATAGGCGGTACGTGGTACGCGATTTCCTAGTTACACTTATCAATGTCTCATAGTAATATAAATTGTTTATACTTTATTATATCTGTTAAATGATGATTTTTATTATATTTAATTTTGTTACTAGTTTAGCTGATTGTAATTGAAGTAGAGAATGAATAACATATTTACCAATTAAAGAAGTGATGTAATGGATAACGTAGAAGCTTCATAATCTAGAAGTCCCAGGTTCAAATAATCAGGTTCCCACTAACAATAAGCGTTTTTTAAGATCAATTTGAAGTAATTAATTTCAAATATAATTATTATAAATATCTTAGGAATAAAATTTGTAACCCTTAAGGATGAACGTTTTTTTTTTCGAATATTAAATTAGTGTCATTTCGGATCCACTCCATTTCAATCTATTCAATCCATTTTCATGGATTTAAATTACGCATTAAAAAAATTTTAATCCATTTTAATCCATTCTCGTTTACTAGATACCATCGTGAATTTAATTTTAGGTAAGTTACTTTTTTTTTATATAAAACTCCAGCTTTAATTTATACAATCAATTGCCATATTAGTACATTTGTAAAGAAAGATACTACATCCAATGATATTAATTTAAAGTTTTCGTCAATTTCTATTTGTTGAAGATTATCAACTAATTAGAAACTGTTGTTACTATTGGTTATTGTACCGTGTACTGCGTACCGCGCTCCATATAATCACACCCTGACAAATTCACATTACTAAGAGCCGGTTGTTCCACCTTTTAGTAAATTTCAAGTGAGATAAATGTGAGATAAATTTAGTAATTCACGCATGTGATTGCGTAATCTTGCTACTTACTCAACAGGTAAAATTTGCCAAAAGGTAGAACAACCGACCCTAAGCACTTTTAATAGAATTAATTGATTTAAATGCAATTATTAAGGAAATTCATTGAAAAAATAAGAGTGTGATGAAATATGATATAAAAATAAATTAATATATTTAAAAAAATTCATATTAAAGATTATTTGTCACTAGCCTCGCTTATCGCGTTACATGTAATACAGATGAAAAGAAGCAAGCAGCACGGTTTGCGCGGTTCCTATAGTTACCTAATTAGTTTCTGTACCGCGCTACACGTAATCGTATCCTAATGGCTTCTATATATTGGACGCGGAAACGCTTGCTGTCCGGCAAAATGAGACGCGGTAACCAATTGGGACACATTGGGAGCTGTAAACTTTTTATCTACCGCATCACATTTTGCCGCACGGCAAGCGTTTCCGCGTCTATGCAGGAGCCATAACTGTCTTTACACGCCTATCGACAGTTGTCGGTGTCGTTGCGCAGATATTTTATATGAAAAAGCTGCGCAATAACATCGACAACTGTGTAAAACAGTAACATCGGCAAGCGTGTAAAACAGTTACGGAATCGTGTCTCAGGGGAGTCTATCAGCGATAATTATCATATATGGAAAATATCGCGCAGTCAGTATTGCATGCGACTTCGAAATCGTATTCTCTGCTACCATATGTGATATGTTGTCAACATGGAATAGAGAGAATAGGAGGCCGAACTAGGCTTTGAAAAGTGTGGTCAAAATCAGGTTTCTGAATTGGTATTGGTGGTGCTCGGTAGGCGGCGTTCGAATCGCAAAACTCAAGCCAGTTTTACATTAGTTACAAGCTGATCGCAAATTTGTTGCGACAGCTAATATAAAGCGTTGATTTCAAAATGCAAGCTTCAAATTGACTGTCGCAAACTTGAGATCGGCTTGCAACTAATATAGAACCGGTTTCATATACACTTACGCACACACAATCGAACACACATAACCTACGAATAGAGACGTTATTCTGTGACATTCTCTGATAGTAACAGGAAGACGTAAATTGTCATTAAAACTGCATGAAGATTGAAACATTCTTCATGTAAATTGGTATGACCAGAGAGAAATCTGAGAGAGGACATGACGACCCAAACCTGTAATCGCAAAATGCCGCACACTACTGCTCTCTGACAAAGTAGATGTGAACTACGTAGCGTCCACTTTTCTTACGATACATCATCCACTTTTCAAGGCTGAAGATAATAAATCAATATTTGATTCATATAATCGTGCTACATGTAATTTTTGTTATTTTTTGTTGAGTAGTATATATGGAAAATAAAGCTTCAATGAAATGTATTCATTTTCACATGTATTAAGTTTCATATATATGTTATCATTTATATATGTATGTAACTCATAAAGTAAAGTCGGTTCTACATTAGTTGCAAGTTTGTTGCAACAACCAATGTAAAGTTTGCATTTTAAAATCAACGCTTCATATTGGCTATCGCAACATACTTGCAACTAATGTAGAACCGGCTTAAAAGATAAATGTACGATCTTAATCATTTTTGAAATATGTAATGTATCCGAAGTATAAATAAAGTATAAATTTTACCTATATCTTTTCTAATTGCTCAATGATATTCTAAGAATTATATATAAAATCATTCTTAGATCGAGATTTTTATCATGACCAAAAAATAGTATAAATTCGTCAAATTGACATTATTTTTATTTTCTTGTTCTCCTTGGGTATGAAACGAAACAGTATTTTAATATGTCATATCCATTGCTACATAAATTAAATATACTTCACATTAACCTCACTTCTATCGGGAAACCGCATTTATTACTATATTTGTTGTATGTCGTGACTTGTATATCGTGGGTTATGCTCGATATCAATTGTTCGATATTTTCTCGTGATACATCTATTATGTTCCGGGAGAAGACGCTGAGGTGAGGTAGCATGGACAAATGATATGTCCCGGCAAATTCAAATTAGGATTACAACTGTTATATTTAAAGATGACGAAAATGAATTCGTAGCCCAAGCGGAAACTTATGGAGCCTCTTCTTGATAATAATTGAAGCTTAGGTAATTTAGTTAATCTTGACTCGATGTTAATGTAATAGTCATGAAATATGAAAGTTAAAATAAGGTTAGGTTGGTTGACAAAGTGGCAATATTTTTAATTTATCGAAATGATAAATGACACTGATCAAGAAAATGATTAAGGGATAAGGGGGGTATTGCTTTCGATATAATTTATTAAAGTAAATTAAAATAGCTGTAAAGTGAAATAATTATTATATTAAATAAGTCTAATAATAATAGATGGAACATGAAATAATAGTATGTGTGAAAATATGTATAAATTGCATGTATTTATTTAATATAGTGAATAGTTAATATGGACTATGATAATTGAGCATTATAGAAATATTCAGCTGATACATTAAATGAATATAATTCATCTCCAATCTGATATAATTGGAATAGTAAATATAACACAGTAATGTGTAAACGTAGTAATATAATTCAAGAAAAGTCTGAATGTTTTAAAATTAAGATCTATTAATATTATTATTTCATATTCAGTATATAAAAGAATGGATAGTAGTTACCAAGAACAATAAAGTATATGTATATAATGTATGTAGTATGTGTATATTTGTAACAAAAACTGAATAAATTGAAAAGACAATGTAAAGGGTGTCTCAAAATGATCTGACATTTTAAATTGCGCGCCATTTTTTTTGCAGCGAACGTAACGTACTAACCTTTAACAACTGGCATCAAGAAGTATTGAGGTTTAGTGGAGAATTACACGATCGAGCAACGCATAGAAATTGTGAAATTTCTTCAGACGAAGTTTCATGGTCGTGTTATTTCGCGCCGCGGCGATGTGAATTGGCCACCAAGATCGTGCGATTTGATGCCATTGGACTTCTTTCTTTGGGGTTTTCTGAAAGGAAAAGTGTATGCCAATGATCCACAGACCGTTCCGGAGTTGAAGGAAGAAATTAGACGTACCATTAATGAAATTAGTCCGCAATTATGCCAAAATGTCATTGAAAATTTTGTCAAAAGAATGAACGTTTGCAAACAGAGTCGAGGCGGCTATTTATCAGATATTGTGTTCCACATATAACCTCCATGTTTGTACTTTATATTAAAGTAAAAACATGTGTACTTTTCAAATAAATAATATGTTTTATTAATACATTAAAATGTCAGGTTATTTTGAGACACCCTTTATTATAATATTGTAAGAGAGATAATAAATTATATATTATCTCTAACATAAATTATCATAATAGAATCTAGTATAATCCGAGATAATAAGCACAGGAATATAACAGAATATTATAATAGTAGAGTATTAAACATAATATTGTGATATAATAAAATATTATTAAGTAATAGAATATTATTTGAAATTTAGATTTGATATAAATGATTACGAAAAATACGTACAATGTAATTAACCATATATATATATATATATCTATTTCATTAGATGACATAATGAAAGGAACGTTTCACTAAGAGACGACAAATGTGATTTAGATATACTCAATAATAAAGATATCGATTATTGTCCTATAATATTTAAAATATATATTAATACTTAAAATGTATATTTGTATAGATCTTAAATTTTTAATAATTGATGATTACCTTTTAGATTTATCGTACAGAACTATGCTCGGAGATGAACGCGCAGGATACGATATTATCAAATAGAATTAGAGTCGCAAAAGACTTTTGAATAGATTTTTGAATCTTTTTTCAAAAGAGGATTGGCACAAGAGACAATGGTATAGATGAACGTCTTATCGTGGCGACTGCTTGGAGACAACTCGTTCCGCGACGACGAGTTACTGTCTTCGAATCTCGGATAAGACAAAGAAAGTATTGCGACACTCAATCGAGCGTCTATTCTTCTATTTGAACAATAAAATAATTATTCTGCAGATTTTGATTTTTTTTTGTCTTCTTCTTTTTGCCTTCTAATTCCCTTCTTTTACTTTGTAAAGCGATAGATTAGTTCCATTATATTTAAATTCGAATACGTGTGTTTCTTTATGAACGCTTAATTCACCGCTAGGCAATAGTTTCGTTGTTTATTACAGTAATAATACTTAGGTGTTGTACAGGTTAAATTGTAGTAAGCTAGAACATTAAAGTTAAACAATGTATATAAAGTATTATAAAGGTTTAACAAATATTTGTTAAACGGGAAATATATAATATATACACATATATTAAGAATAATTATAACTGCGGTAAATTTCTAATTGTTGTTGCAACTGCAATATAATAAAAGTGGAATTCATTTCCATAAAGTTTGAGATTTTAAATTTTAATTTTCGAGAGGGGCTTCTATAAGCCAGTGCTTGCGATTAGTTTATGTTACGAATTCCTACGGGATAATTATCTCTCCTTAGAGATAAGAGCGCGTGACACTCCTTTGTGTCGTCTACGTTGGCTCGCTGAGAGAAAAAAAAATTCGATGGGTAAATATATTTCGATCATTTATTATTACGATCGATCTTTCTTTTAAAAATATAAAAATAAATTTTTTTATGCAATGTCCCAATTATTGACAATCGTAATTGTTTTGCTTAATAAATCAATTAATATAGATCAATGTGTGTATGTTTTCTTCTAAAAATGTGTTATATTCGAAATGATATATGTTATCTATTACAACGAATTTTGAATAGAATTAAATGCTTTTGTAAACGCTAAAATATTATAATTATATGGTCCTTTCGTCGAATGATTTTAACTATTATTAAACTAAAAGTAAATAAAAACAAGCATCAAAATTGAATTAATATAAAAAAAAAACATTGTGAGTAAACTGAAAACATCATAAAAATACATATTTTGTTAATTAATGCATGTGTCACTAATCGGTACTCAAATTTTGTTAGTCAAAATGCGCTAGTTCAAAAATGTAGCGCGATCTCTTAGAACGGAATGGAAGTACGTTTGCATTTGATTTAATGGGCGGACATTACACATCTCACCCATTCAAGAATATCATTTCTGTTATCGCAAGCAATATCGTATGTAAAGTCATTAGATTAACAAAGTACGCGATGAGAAATTTCATGAATTAGCATTTGGAGCCAAAATGGCATCAAAGTGCTATTCTAACCGGATTCTGTTAAAAGGAAATCTATACAAGGGTCTGGAAGAAGAAAAAAATGATTATGTTATTACCGAAAATACTCGCTTGCTGTGTTGAAAATTGCAAAAACTGTAGTGAAAGGCTGAAGTTTTGAATAACAGCGCATCATGGCGGCAGTTCGCGGTATTTTGTTAATCTTGATTTACAATTTTGATTTTAATCGTATTGTGGGGATATGTAGGGAACTGCGTTCTCAATACCTCACTAACGCAGCGCGCGGAGAAAGCCTAGGGATTTAGTAGAGCGAATTGCCTACAAGCAGCTCCAGAGAAAAGATAGATACGTTATGGCGCTCGTCCTGTACGGATGTATTCACACGTGCTCCAAGAATAAAATTCATTGTTACTTGTTATAAGAAGAGTGGTCGATCTTTACGCCTTCCATCACGTTATACAATGAGCGTGGGCTCGTTTAGAGAATCCGACGTCGCTCGTCCATCGAGTCGCTCATTCCCCACAGTATGATATCGTATGCAACATCTAGGATCTTCCTTTTAAGAATAGACTTTTAGGACCTATATTCTGTAGCTGTTTTACGCCTACCGACAGTTGTCGGTGTCGTTGCGCAGCTTTTTCACTATATAAAATATCTGCGAGCCACACCGAAGTTATGGAATCGCGCCCCTATTCTCGCCCCTATAAGAGAAACATAAAATTATAGAATAGAGGCCCTGGGATCTTATTCTTGAAAAGTATCACATACGAAAAACTAGGGAAATACTATAATATGCGTTACATATGCTATAACATTTCTCTAGTTTTTCGTATGCGATACTTCTCAAAAATAAGATCCCAGAGCCTCTATTCTATAACTTTATGTTTCTCTTTCTATAAAATTCTGAGGCCCTTACTTGTTAAAACAGAAACGACATCGTTGCGCAGATATTTTATGGTATAAAAAGCTGCGCAACGATGTCGTTTCTGTTTTAACGAGTAAGGGCCTCAGAATTTTATAGAAAAAAAAACATAAAGTGTGTTCTTGTTTAACACACTTTATGTTTTTCTTTCTATATAAAAAGAGAAACATAAAGCGTGTTAAACAAGGAAAAATTCAGTACCAATTTCACGACGCGAAACAGGCCGGTATTCATAGTCAAATCTTCCATTTAAGACTGTCTTAATAAGTACAATATTAAGATAACATAAGCCGAGGATTGTATTAACATCTTAAGACATTATTTAAGACAGTTTTAAAATAAAAATAGACTATCGTCCCATATTTAGCGTTTCACAGTTTGGCAGACTTTTTCCCTCACGCAACATTCATAGACAGAGACGGCAGAGATTTAGAGAGAGACGTTGCAAACTGAGTACATCATGTTATCGTTTCCACCATGCTAGAGATCTTTATCAACAACGTACACAGCGTAACACTGTCTTATACGTACACAAAGTGTTCCAACTATGCACAGTGTTAGGAGCTTCACACAATAAGGGCCACTTTCATCAAGCTCCGATTAACTTAACAAGCCTAACTTTGCAGAATTCCAACTGAAACTGATGTCGCTGTAGAAAAAATGCAAAGAGAGAAGTTATAAATATAAATTTGTAATACTAACTTATGTAACAATGTTTCTCTCTGAGCTGTTTGTTAATAATCTATTTTTATGTTTAATATAGTATGTAAAATTACAGTTAATTATAATTAGTGAAATATGTTTAACTCTTCAGTTCAGTTTTTCTCCGACATCAGCTTCAGTTGGAATCCTGCAAAATTACTGGGCCTATTAAGTTAATCGGAACTTAATGAAAGTGACCTTAAGAAACAGGGAATAGAGAACAGAGAATAAGAATTTCAACCTATCAGAAATTGTGTATTCCACAATACATGATTTCTGATAGGTTGTTCTTATTCTCTGTTCTCTGTTCCCTGTTTCTTTTATTGTGCGGAGCCCCTTACTCGACGCAATAAAAAGCTAAGTACGTGTAAAATATGTTAAATATGTCAACTAACTTTTTAAAAAATTATTTGATAGCTTATTATTTACTTATTTTACAATAAAATTTTCAAAAATAGCCAATTCTGAAAAAATTATAACTTACATCTAAATAAAAATCATAAATCTATTATTAATATAATTATAAGAATAGAATGGAAGACTGCAATTCTGGTGTTACACTATGAAACTAAACTGCGTTCTAACAAGTACTTTACACAGTGGAACACAATGTAACGTCTCTATGTCCTAGCTGAAAAACAGTCTTTAAAAGTAGAGATCGGCCAAAGCCCGGCATGATATAAAGCAATATTCATAGTCAGAGTATCAATAATGAAACTTTATCCCTAGAATGGAAAGTGAAAATTTTAATCATTGAAATTAATGGAGAAATTTTTCACTTTTCACTTTTCATTCTAGAAAAAAAATTTCATGATTGATACCCAGTTCTTATCAAGACCGTCTTAAGTTCTGTCTTGAGATGTCACGAACCAAAGGGCCGCATTGGCATCTTAAGACATTACTTAAGACATTACTTAAGACGGTCTAAGAATTGACTATGATTACCGGTCATAGAGTCATATATTTATAAGAGAAGCGCGAATGACGTATTCTGATAGGACATTGCAATCATATAATTAGCAGCCAATTATGAACTTATTTCTGTGTATTAAAAATGGCTGCTTAATGGGTGATTTCATAATCCGTCTTGCAAACGCCATTTTTAATATTGGGTCATCTAAAAAGTATCGCGGTACTTTGTCACTAGATATATGACCATCAACACACATCTAATGACAAAAAACCGCAGATACTTTTTAGATGATCCAATATTTTTTCTAGTATTTTTTAATATTGGGTCATCTAAAAAGTATCCGCGGTTTTTTGTCACTAGATGTGTGTTGATGGTCATATATTTAGTGACAAAGTACCGCGGATACTTTTTAGATGACCCAATATTTTTGCGATGCTGACATAAGTTGATCGTGCTTCTCTCATAAATATAGGACTCTAGTATGATGTGAAACTGAAAATCACGTGATCTTGGAAATGCGCGTCATTATATCAATGCCAATTTCGATAAATCTTGACGAAGTTAATATTATAAATGTCGCTTCTTATATACTGTCACATAGAGTACCTAAATAAGAGTAAGGTTAACAGGGTAACGATTAGTGATTGGCCCGCCAAATTGAGGCAAAAGCGGAAGTTATGTACCCGTGTGTACTATCAGTGTACATAATCGATTAAAAGATTGCAACAGGTTTTTTTTTATGATTTTCGGAATGCAGCCTATTCACCGAGCGATTGGTCCTTACTTGCGGATTCGTAAGTAAAAACCAATCGCTCGGTGAGTAGGCTGCATTCCGAAACTCATTTTAAAAAAGTGTTGCAATCTTTTAGTCGGTGAATGTATAATACATATGATGTACACCATTTACATAGTCATTTACGCTATTCCGAGCGAGTTTTCTATGTGTCAGAGGTGAATGGTTCATTTGCTAGTCATTTTATTCGACGAGTCATTCGAACTGAAAAGGAGAGGTGAGTAACGAGTGAATTACAGTGGAATTATGTATTCTTTTAATAAAATAAAAACGTGAATTTCTCGTGCAGTCATTATAATTTAACTTATTTGTTTGTTGATACATTAGAGCTATAATGCCCGGCTGTGTAATAGATTATTGCATAAACTCTGCTAAAAAGGATTTTAAAATGTGTCGTTTTCACGAGACTGCTAAAAAGACCAAAAATTTGTGCTGAAAGTACAGGACAATAAGACAACTCCATCTAATATTTCAGTGTTATGTGAGATTTTTAAGAATTTATTTTTGTGATTTTTTTAATATAATAAATTTAATATAAATAAATTATTAATGTATATTGTATATTATTCCAGGTACATTTTGATGCAGAAATGTTTTCATGCAAAAATGAAAATAGAGAGAAGACATAATTGTATATTGATTTATTATTTTATATGCAATTCTATCTTCATTAGTTATGTTTTGAATGTAAATTGACAAATTGAATACATACTATAATAAAATACTTATATATACCTAATAAAAAACTAAATATATTATACTTTTAAAAAGATAATTAATACACCTAAAATCCTATTTTAATCCTATTTTTTCGTTTTTATACTGTTTATTTGTAAATAAATTTCACTTTCATTCTATTTGTATTTACTTCTGTTGTATGCTTCTTTAATTTATTCATTATAAAATTATTGGCTCTCTTCTTCTGCGTTCAGCAGAACATTTATTTTGCAATTGAAAGTTTTCTTCGCACTCATTAAATTGTATTTTTAGATCTAGAGAAATAATCTTATCTCAGCAGCAACACATTCATAAAACGATTTTGCTGAACTCATTGTTATATGTACAACTTCAATTTTACATTTCACACTTGAAAATGCGCGCGCGTTTCGATGCATTACCGATTTTGCCTCATTCGCGCTATTGGCCGTACTCTTATTATAGGTATTCTATTCTCTTACTCTCATATTCGCTTTTCTCACTCTCATATCTGATTTCACATCAATATGGCAGATAATCACGGATCGAATCGGCATTGACCGATCTCTAGCTCCGCCCCATCAATTGAAAGCGTGGCAAATTCAAATATAATTTAGGTTGTTTCTATTATAAAAAACTTATTTTATGTTTAACATATAGAATTAATTTACTTTTTATTATTAAATTTGTGATGTATATTGTATTTGTGCTTTATTATTATTGTGTACGTTTACATAAATATTAAAATATAATATTTGATAATAAATCTTATATAATGATAATAAGTATTGAAACATTTAAAGACAAAAAAGGTTTTTAAGTTTAATTTTATTATAAATAAATAAGAGATAAAATGTGATAGCATAGATTAATATAATAAAAATAGATTATATTATATAAATTAAAAAAAATTTTGTAAATGAAATGAAATAATTGCACATCAATTTTATCAAAATAGAGCATTAAAATGAGAAATTAAATTAATATTTAAGATTTTTTTATCACAATAGCTAATGTACGATATAATCACTCAATGCAATATTAATATTAGGTGCGCAACTAAGTTCCCGCTGTTTGTCAACAGATGGCTCCAGCAATAAGTGAACAGTTTTATCGTGATAGTATACGAGCTCTGCCAGAAAGATGGGAAAAAGTAATAGCTAGCGATGGGCAATACTTTCAATGATTCATTTGTAACCATTTTTTCACAATAAAGTTGCATTTTCATCAAAATAACAGCGAGAACTTAGTTGCGAATGTAATATAATATTGATAATGTATGAAATATAATTATATCGTACATTTACTTCATGATAATAAAAATACATATTAAATCAAATAATTAAATAATATATTACAAATAATTCAACATGTGATATAACCTCGCGCACACACACGCACACGCACACGCACACGCACACGCACACACAAAAGATAAATATATATAAATATAACACTAATATCTATAATATCACGTCTTGAATAATTTTTTACACAAATACTATCAACTTTATAGAAAAGCTACAAGAGACAAAAATCATTAATTTTCTTCTCATAAAAGAAGAAAATTCTTTCTGAGAATTTTTTCAGAATTTTTTAATACCGTATTTTCTCATGTTGGTAAAAATAAAAAAATGCAGTACTAAAAAATTGATAACAAATTTTGAAAAATTTCTTAGAATTCTATGAGAAGAAAATAATTTTTGTCTCTCGCAATTTTTCTGTAAAGTTAATATTAGGTGTTGGAATTAATTCGTAGCGTTTTTTAATGAAAGAATGTTATTTATTTCACATGAGCATTAAAAAATACATTAATGAAAGTACTTCCCATCACTTGTAAAACGCTACGAATTAATTCCAACACCTAATAGTATTTGAATAAAAAATTATTCAAGACTAATATTTGACAGTTTTTAGTAAATAATATCTTGTTAACTATTGCGAAAATTGCAAAATGATAGAGGACTCAATTTAGTCCGCTCTATCTATACAAAAGCGATTGGCAAAAACTTTCGGGACACCCTGTATATACAGAGTGTTCAGTATAACGGCACAATTTTTTAGACACTTCCGACAATTAAAAAAAAAAAGATTGAAAGGTAATTATCCATCTATTTCATGCGGGTTACAACATGCGATAAAAAAATTTAAAAAAATTTTTTTTAATAAAAAAATCAAGGTCATCTTGAATTTTTTAAATAACACCATACAATTTTTTTTCTATAATATTATAAGGATCTTCAAGACAAATTCAACTATCGAGATTATGACTTTCATTGATGTTTTATTGATTTTTATTACATAATATTTATCACAAATACTCATTAATAAAGAAATACTTACGTGAACTTAATAATATATGTGAATAAATTTTATTGATATTTAATATCAAATTTGCAGGATTATAAACATAAATTAATGAAGAAAAACTATAATATTATGCAAGCAAATGTTCAAATTGCTTACCTTCTTCTGCAACACAAAATTCTGCTCTTTTTAAATAAGTATACATAACAGCTATTATACTATTTTGATCCAAAGTTACACAAGCTGTAATTATTCTTTCTCGAAGATCGTGAATACTATCGCTGAAATCGTTGAAATCTTTATTAGATTTAATAGATTTTAATATATTTTAATTTAATAGATTTTAGTTATTTTAGCGATTTCAACTATTTATTTTCGTCAAGAGTACCGCAAAAAGGAAGATATTGTTGTGTAATTAATCCACTTCTTCAGAGGGCGGTAGTGCGGCAATATTTTGCAGTTACAAATTTTGGTAGAGCACTATAAGTATTATACCTATAAAAGTTACATGATCGCTACCCTGAAAGAGGACATGACAGCCTAAAATTAAGACACTATAATATGAGTATTCGCATCGGCCATTTTTAGTCCCTTCCCCATTCTTTGTTCTCTCTTCAGTTTTCTTAGTTTAGCAGCGGAGTCGAGAGAGAGAGAGAGATTGAGGAAAGGACAAAGGATTGAGGAAAGGAGCAAGAGAGTGAGAAAAGGACTAAAAATGGCGGATGCGAATATTCATATTATAATGCCTTAGGGCTGTCATGTCCTTTCTTAGGCTAGCGATCATGTAATTTTTTCGCTAGAGCGGAATCGCGAAAAGTAAAAATTTATGTATAGTCGGTCACAGAAAGGTTGCAACACCTTTTTTTGGAATGCAGGCTGCTCACCGAGCAATGGTTCTTATTTACGGATCCATAGATAAGAACGAATCGCTCGTGATGATGTTCGTAGTGTTCATACATGCACACACATTCATACAAAGAATTTTCACGTTTCCGCTCTAGGGAAAAAATTATATAATCTACCCATAATCGCTACCCAGGTTTCTCTCTGCACTAGTTCTCCCAATGGAAAACGTTATTTGAGCCTGCGGCACACGATGCTTGTTTTCCTGGATTAATTTTACATCGTATTGGCTGCAGTACCAGCATCACAGCCAATATAGTGGCAAGATTCTAATCTAGATAGTAATCCAGCAGGAAAAAAACATTGTGTCGCTAGCTTAAGATAAATATATCATGTGATGTTGCACGCTTCATGGATCTAATAAGTCATTGAGAATTTCATTAGATCCACGACAAGCGTGCTGCCAACATTGCATGATATGCCCATCTTTAAACTGCTATTGTTCGAGAGCGAGACAAAGCGAGAGTGATAGAGAGAGAGAGAGTTTGAGCGAAAGATTGATCTACGCATAACCAATCACAAGTCGAACGCGGCGGAGAGTCTCAAAGGCGAGTGCACTGAATTGCGGAGCGTGACTGAAAAAGCTAAGAAGAAGGATCATTGCTCGATTCGACTTTTTATCAATTTGATAGAATAAAGACTTCTTTCTTCAATCGCTTATGAGATTCTCTAAAAATTACGAAATTTGAGGCGAGCACACGTGCGCTGTGACCGATCCGAATTTTAATTGCCGTTTTAAGAGTTGGTTTTTTGTGTACGTACGACATGCGGCTTTGATTATATTTTTCACTTTTCCAACGAAAGGTGATTGTCAAGTTTATTTTTGGAAGTTCTAGAGCGCTCGTTTGAAATTGTTCTAAAAATTCCCAATCCACCTGTCGCACATACACCGATTCCGTGAAATCGGTTTTTCGGATTCATTCATTTCTCGAACAGCTATTAAATTTAGAAAAATGGACATTATTGAACATATAAGGATGTGAATTGACTATTCATTCAGATACTTTATTTGTATATTGGGTGTGGGAAAAAGTTCGTGGCGGTTTTTTTTAGTAAAATTCAAGTGTTCTTCTTAGAGTATCAATTTATTTAAACCAAATATGCTCCATTATTTTCAATAATATTTTGTCATTTTTGGAGCAGAGCCATAATCCCATCACGATAGAACTTCTGTGGTTTCTGGTCGAAAAACTGCTTTTAATGATTTTCACAGGCCTCTTTTGAAGCTAGCTTTACATCATTAAGAGAGTTCTGCAGAGGTTCTGTTAAACAAATAATAGTCTGAGGGTGTTATGTCAGGACTATACGATGGATGCATTAAGACTTCCCAGCCAAGCTCTCGCGATTTTTGCCGAGTTATCAAAGATGTGTGTGATCGAGCGTTATCGTGATGTAAGACGACCCCCCTATTGATTAATTCTGGCCGCTTCCTCTCAATTGCTTGTTGTAATTTCTCCAGTTGTTCACAATAGGGTTCGGAATTGTTTAATCGAGCGATTACAGCTCATAGTGAACGATTCCCTTCCAATCTCACACAACATCACCTTCTTCATCGTCAATCCAGATTTTGCGATTGTTGTGCCTTCTCTCCTTCCTTTATTCACGATCTTTTGCGAGTTCGATTGTCGTACGTGATCCATTTTTCATCACCAGTTATCATTCTCTTCAGAAATGGCTCAATTTCATTCCGTTTCAGTAGCGTATCGCAAATATTAAATTCGGTCCATCATGTTCTTAACACTCAACTCGTGAGGAGCCCAAACATCGAGCTTCTTTTTGTATCCA